TTCACTCGCCAATAGACCCCTTCACGGCTCCCTGCGCCATCTTGAAAGGTAGCCGGGTCTTTGCATCGAAGCGAGACGAACGGTGAGCTTGCAATGATAGAGACATGCGAATAATTATCCAAGGTGAGAAAGCTGACTGATTGGTCCTTACGGCTTCTGGCAAGAATTTCAAGGTCATTAAGTACTCGTCACAACAGTAATAGTTTATCATGTGTCCAAGACTTGGTTCTTGATCCATTCTTAGGAGCTCCATCGCTTTATTTTTGGCAAAGTGTTTGTTTTCAAGTTCTTTGCCTATTCCCCATTGAGCAAGTAAGCGCATGAACGGGTAAATTCGCTCAGAGGATGAACAYCCGGTTTTTGCAGCTATGTCTTGGATGCTAACAGACGGCTCGTCCGTGTTGCAGAGTAGATCAGGAATCTTGAAGCCCACGACAAGACTCAAACATCTGTTCAACCATAAACCATGAAACATCGAGAAAATGACATTTTCTTCTTGGCTTATCGCAGATTCTGCCATGTTTAGTTGGTACGTAAGAGCCTAGTCAGGAAAATGCGTTAGCTATATCTTTGTTAAATATGGGAGTGACTGTGAGCTATGAGACGTGATTGAGGGACCGTGAATAAATATTCTTAACAAACTTAAAGGCCCCGTCCACTCTATGCCGGATAAATTTGAATCCGAATTTTTATTTATTCGGTTAGACCTACCGTCCACACTAGTCCGGGCGAATCCGGAACAATTCTTCACCGAAAACGATTTTTTTCGAATACGATCTCCAGAGTGGAACAATTTGAAAACGCCGGCTAGCCGTATTAGTGTGGACGGAGAACATTTCGTATCCGAAATTGTTATGGGAACATGGCGGGAAGGCTAAAAAATCACCGCAGGCTCGATTTCAGCTTCGATGCACATGCTCAAATGTGCAATGAAGCGTTTTTGCCGCCTCTTTGACTATTGTGGACACGAAACATTTTCTCCGTTTTCATGTGTGGACGGAAAACTTTTTTTTCGGTTTCGGTGTGAAAGTTGCGGATTCAAATTTATCCGGCATAGTGTGGACGGGGCCTGAGTAAAAATTCATGAGGAAAACGCAATAGAAATCATGAATCATAGAATCATAGAAATCATCAGTTTTATATACTATTTATAAATGTGTGCTGTGTGCAGTCATAAAGCACGTTGGGGTTTGGCAGAATGCGAGAGAAGTGTTAGAAAGAAAAAAAAAGGAAAAAAAAAAAAAACGCGTAGCGGTATAATTTTCAACTACAAATCACTGTTGTCTACTATTTGTCAACGCGCACACTTTCTGCGCATCTACATCAAGGGATTCCCGCGGGTTCCAAAAGCGAAACACCCGACAGGAAACGTCGGCTTGGAACAAATATTATGCATTGTTTTTGGTAAAATACAATCATTACTGTGGTATACTTGTAGTCCAGCTGGCGTATAATATGACATAGTATTAGTGTGGTATACTCATACATGTCCAATACACACGAAATGAGRYGTATTATATGAAATAGACCTACGAATGGTTGTCTATCAATAATCCTGCGCTCTGATTGGCTGAGCTACTCGCTTTTGAAATCGTGGGCTATTGAYTCGTAGACCATTCAGGATGCGGGTATAATCTTTGAATAGTCAACGGTGAAAAACCTCAAAACTTTTACCATATGGAAGACTAACACACACATCACTGTTACAAACTGATTTTAATGATGTGCCATAGCTGACTACTAAGGAAGCAAGGAGTAGTCATACTATGTCTGGGGTTGATAAGGTGACGTATTTTTATGGCATTATCTTCCGYTTCTGGCTCTAGTTCTGACCTTTAATATTGGCCAAGCTTTAGAATTTTCTTTGACAAAAACTTTTGATTATGCAGGAAAATGTGGGCAGACTGCCAAAGGGTAAGTTGACCGGTTTCCGGTTATGTGACGTTTTGTGTCACGCATTCCTAAACCGGAAGTCAAGAGATTCGTCATTCATGACAAAAATCCAAGCACAAAGCCACAGTCAACTCGGCAAGACTCCAAATAACATCTTGAACAAAAACCCAGCTTGTTTACTCGGTTGAACTCCAAAAACCTGAATTTTATCCAACTGAGAACATGCTAGAACCATGTGGTGGGGCAAAATGGCGTTGAAAATCCAAAGAAAACAGTTCAAATTATCTTCTTCCATGTTGTTCAAATTTATCTTGTTGAGTTTGCTGTTTTGCTGTTTGAAGGAATCAACTGCTTCACGACCCGGTAAGTCTTTAATGAAATATCGAAAACATCAAAAAATCAACTCCAAGATGACTTAAATATTATTTCAGTGTAACATGACGCCCTTGTGAATATAGTTTTTTGAGTTTAACACGATCATTTCATTAACCTGAAAATTTTTTTGGTGTCAAAACTTAACCAAGCTCAGTTGGTGAGATGTCTCTACAGATAAGCTTTTTTATTCGTAGATTTTATTTCGAAATCTTGTCGCTTTTAATACCATCGATCGTAAGAGAAGAAGTTATATCTAAGCGTTTTCGGTGGCATTTTAACTAAAACGTTAAAGAATTTTAGCAGTTCGGAGTCCTAGGCTTGGACAGTAATGTGTGAATGAGCACTTAAAAAGTCGACGTTTTATGAGCTAATTTGCTCTTTCAATATCTAAATAAGTGTATCTTTCCCTTTGTTATGAAATAAAATACCCCTTCTTAATCCCTAATGCAGTATAAATATTTATGTGTGTTGATCACGAATCGTTTTTGATTTATGAAAAAATATTGGATGAATTTTTCTTTTACATTTGTAGTACGCTAAATAAAGGCTTCGGGCGTGATTGATAATTTTAATAACCATTTTTAAGTAATGTTTAATAAACGAGCAGGAGTGTTTTATCGGG